TGGGGGGGGGTGGCGGGCTTCCCTGGGATCCGCCCCTCCCATGCAAGCCCAGTGAGCAGCCGTCTCAGAGCCTGCCCTTCCCTGACACCACGTGACGAGAACCCAGTTCCTGCTACTCAGGAAGTGCAAGCCGATGCCCTGTGCTGTGATCATTCTCGTAGGGGGACCAGGTTGGGCATCCCTGGTGTGGCCAGCTATTCTTCTTCTTCTTTTTTTTTTTTAATTGACAGAGGGTGAGTGTGCTCACCAGAGAAAGAGAAAGAAACCCCCACCCTCATCCCCAATGGAGCAAGGTCATGCCACAATCCTTCCTCCATTTTATCTGTGAGATTAAGGGCAGGTATGCACACGTGCCCAGCATGTTTTTCAAGCTGTGGTGTCTGAGATTTGGACCCCAGTTGGGCATGTGGGATCTGGCTCCCTTAACTGGTGTGCTCCAGAGGAAGTTAATTGTATTGGTAGAGACTATATGCACATGTATGAGGTGGGAAGAGAAAGAGAGAGAGACCCTTAGCAGGTCTTGTCATGCCATAATCCCCTTTCCCCAACCCTCCAGTTCTTAAAGGATCTTGGGCACCCACACTCACACCTGGCATGTTTTGCAGGCCAACCTGGGGACCTGAACCCTCAGTTGGCCATGTGACATCCAGCATTGCCATTCAGTTTGCTACTAGCTGTGCCACCAGGCCGGGCCCAACTTTGTTCTTCTCAAGGACTGTCAGGAGGGGGGCTCAAAAACATGAATCTTGGGACCAGCAGATGATGTAACGGTTACGTCACTGGACTCCCACAGTCAGCTGTGGTTCAAGCCCCAGACCCAGCGACTTAAAACTCATGCTGGATGTGTGTGCATGCATGCTCAACATTCCAAGAGGAGAGTAGAGGATAAGAGATTGCGGTGTGGCCATTCCCCGGGGGGTGATTTTTACTTTTTGACTCTCTCTGTCTCTCTGGCGAGTACACATGTCCTATAGCAAAACTCTCTCTAAAAAAACATGGATCTTGAGATTTACACTGGCTGTCTTTTGTTGCAAAATTCTTTGAAATCACCGGGGATAGATTTTCTGACCTCGAGTTCAGCTGAGCCCTATACATTATCAGCACAAACTTGGCTTTTGGGCTCCACAGGGTTAACGTTAAGGTTCCTCTCCCTGCCCTGCCCTGCCCCATTTCTGAGACCTCCCTTTGCCTCCTTATCTTCAGAAGGAAGTCTGAGCACCCTAATAAGAAAGAGGGAGAGGGCATTGGAAGTCCCCATTCTTGTTTCCAACAAAATATCCGTCCTCCATGGGCACGAGCCAGCGTGTGGGACGTAAGACACCAAGGTCCCTCTGCCCTCCCTGTCTCCTACCTGACTCTCTGACTCTGGGCGTCTCTCATGGCATTTCCTACTGGGTGTCTTCACCCAGGCTTGTCTCTAAACCTCTCTTCTTCTCTTCTCCCCACCTCTGCCTATGGGTGTCTGCCTCTCATGCTGCCTCTCTGCCTCCCCTGTGTTTTCTAGGCCTCAGAACTGGGAATGACCTCAGCGTTTTACAAGTACATCCTCACCACCATGGTGCGTACCCCTCTGGCCCTGCTCACCCCCACTTTCCTCCTACCATGTCTGTCCCACTGGGGGTGTCCCAGGTCTTACCACCTCTTCTCGGTCCCAGGACTTCCCCATCCTTCATCTGGACGGTATCGTGGAAGACTCCTCCAACATCCTGGGCTTCTCCATGTTCAACACCTCCCACCCCTTCTACCCGGAGTTTGTGCGCAGCCTCAACATGTCCTGGAGGGAGAACTGTGAAGCCAGCACCTACCCGGGCCCCGCGGTGAGCACACAGATTCCCTGTTACACCAGTACACACAGTGCACAGACTCTTCCAGCTGCCCCCCACCCCTTTTTTTTTCTTTTTGGAGAGGTATTTTGCTATAGGGCACATGCACTTGCCAGAAAGATGGAGAGAGACAGATAGACAGAAAGCGAGAAATCACCCCCCAGGGGGGATTGCCACGCTGCAGTCCCTTCTCTTCCATTCTCCTCTCGGGATCCTGGCCATGTACGCACATGCACCTGGCATGAGTTTAAGCCACCGGATCCGGAATTCGAACCGCGGTTGACTACATGGGAGTCCAGCGATATAGTCATTACGCTAACTGCTGGTCCCCTGGCTCCCCTTTTTTTTAACTTAAAATTTTCAGAGAGTGCATGAGCTCCCCGGGCGGCAGGGAGAGAAAGTGACAAGCCATCCCCCCATGGGAATCCTGCCGCAAGCCCTCCTCCTCTCTATTCCCTCATAGAGGCCCCAAGACAGATCTAACCCACATTGTCCTCCTCTTACGTCCCATGCCATTCCAGCCACACCTGCTCCTCTCTGGCTGCTGACGCCCCAGCACAGTGTACCCCAGGCCCTTTGCATGTGCTCTTCCCCCAGAGAGCCAGCGGCTCCCTCCTGCATCACTGAGAGGCCTTTGCTCAAATGTCCTCTTGGTTTTAAGACCTTTCTTGGTCTCCCTATTTTAAAAAAATGGGGCATTATCTACTTATTAGCCCCTATATCCTTTATTCCCCCATAACACTTACAGAGGGGTTTTCAAAAGTTTGTGGAAAATGTGGTATGAAAAAAACTGTACATGGATCTCAAACATTTTTTACACTTGAATAAACTCCTACTTTAATTCCATTTTCCAGAGCGTTCTGAAATCCCCTCGTATTTGTTTATTTTATCACCACATGGCTCACTATTTCACACTTAAGCGTAGATGCAGATTTACAGGCTGTAGGTCCCTGGGGCAGGGGCCGCTCTTCTGCTGTCATCGTGTCCCCAGCCACTCCAGCAGCCTGCACGTAGCAGGTGCCTGAGGATGTGTGCTGACTAAATGCAGACACGAAAGATGTTCTCAGACATGTACTCACATACCCAGGTACCCAGACATGTCTGCGCAGGAGTGCACCTGAGCACTGAGCTGTACAGTCAGCTGTGTGCACGCGGGACATCATTCGCCAACACAGAGACATATTTGCACGCACCCCTGTGCACACCTACACAACATGGATAGTCAAACCTTCATGCCAACCCCGTTCACAGGCTCGCTCACACACACACTCACACACACACACAGACGCCCACCATTATCGATCACAGTGCCACGGCCAGGTGTGGACCACTCGCAGGGCCGGGCGCTGTTCCCAGTGCTTCATAGGCATCTTGCTTGATCCCCGCAGCAGGGACAGAGGCGGGGACTGCTGCTGTCTCCGTTTCCCAGGGGAGGACACGGGCTCCAAGAGAGGGTGGGGCATGGCTCCCATCACGGTTGGGAAACAGCAGAGCTGAGCCTCCAACATGAGCTGCCAGCCTCCTAGGCCTTATCAACCATTGTGTTCTGCCTCCCTGACACCTCACCCACCTGTGTGTAGACAAGTGGGTGTGTTCATGCAGCCTCAACCACACAGATATGCCCTAGACACACTCAGACACTGCCTGATTGGGGGCCACAGCTGACCATCCAGGCTAGCCCTCTCAGGTGTCCCCTTCCCCAGACAGACACGTGGCCATGCACCATCAGGAGTTCTGCTCCAGACAGGGCATGGGAAGCATGTACCCCTGCCCCACTGCCATCCACACCCTGAAAGATGCAAAGCTGTTTCCTGGCTCTCGACCCACCCATTTCCCATTCCTGGGAAGAGAGGAGTTTGAGGGCTTGGGGGTAGCACCCCAGGGGCCTCAGTGGGCTAAGCTGCTGTCTCTCCTGTCTCACCCCCACCTCTGCCCCTGCCCAGCTGTCAGCTGCCCTGATGTTTGACGCTGTGCACGTGGTGGTGAGCGCCGTCCGGGAGCTGA